GCTGAGAGTGTTAATGCTTTGGTTGAAACTTCCTGTCTGCTAACCAGATATGTGAATAAGGCTCATTCTCCCACATAGGAGGCAGAAGAGGAACCCGCAAAGGGGACAATGAATATTCAGTTAGATTTGTCCTCCGTGTGGTGATCTCATCCCTCTGGCTTTGGTGGCTGTTTCTGAGGGTTTCTTTTCTGAACCCACCACAGACAGAGAGAGCTGGGCTCCAGCCAGAGTCCCTGCTCCTCACTCTGTAGACCTGCTTCCTGCAGAATCACCTCAATGTTACAGATGCCTCTCTTCCATTTCAGCCTGGGTTTTGTGTCCTGTCTACCTCAAACAGCTTCCTTTCAAAGTTTGTGAAATCAATACCAACCTCTCAAAAAAAAAAGTTAGCTTTAAAATAAAGCAATCACAGCCGGGCGTTGGTGGCGCACGCCTTTAATCCCAGCACTCGGGAGGCAGAGGCAGGCGGATCTCTGTGAGTTCGAGACCAGCCTGGTCTACCGAGCGAGTTCCAGGACAGCCTCCAAAGCCACAGAGAAACCCTGTCTCGAAAAAAACCAAAAAATAAATAAATAAAGCAATCACTTGCAAATTTTCTTGCACGGTTAAATTTGACCGGAGCGGGCTTCCTCTACACGTACTCACCAGTGTATGTGGGGTTACAGAGAGCTGAGCCTTTGCACTGTGAGTCTGTAATATTATTTATTCCTCCTACTTCATGGGATGAGATTGCTGTCAAGTCCCCTGGCCCCTGGAGATATGACCTAAGTATGTGGCTTGCTAATGATTAATGGTACACAGGGCGCCGGTCACATCACAAACTCACGCCATCTGTACTCTCAACGTTCTGAGGCCCAAAGTAAATGTGGTAAAAGTCAAAGGAGAGATTTTTTTTTAAAGAGAGAGATTCAGAGAAGACAGGAATGGCATCTGCGCACATCCAGAGAACAAAGAGAATCAGGAGCCTTGAGGGTGGCAGGCAGGGAAAGCAGACAACACAGACTGGAAGAAGATGAGTCAGACACCGAATGAGGGCACTGGGTCGACGCAGCTGCACTGAGCTGGCCGGGGTGGGGTGGCAGGAACTGAAGCAGAGGAATGGCAGGGGGCAGAGAGGGAGAAGTGCAGAAGACGGCTAACTCAGAAAGTGGGGAAGAGTTAGCTGCAGATGGAGACAGGAAAGCTCCCAGGCTCTTAAGGTGACAATGCACACAGGAAAGCAGGGTAAGGAAAGAGTTAAACTAACAACAAAGATGTCAGTCTTGGACCCCTGCTTGGCAGACACAAGGCACCCTGTGGCTGCTAATGCCCTCCATTCATTTCAATGTTTTCAACCTATTTCAAATGCCCCCATGCAATAATGATCTCATTTCATCGTCAGTGCAACCCTGGGAAAGAGGTGGGTCTGGATGTTATAACTATCCTATGGCTCCCTAAGGAGCTGTCAAAATGTTTCCAACAACCCTGCCTGCTGAACCTGGCTATCCCCTAGGGGCAGCACAGGAAGGTTGGGTCCTCTGCCTGGGTTCCATTCTGGCCTTGGTCCCTGCTGATTATCCTGGGCAGGATGTTTCAGAAATCACAGCATATGTATTCATTCCTCTCCTGGAACTTCCCAGGCTGCTCAGTTTACATCTGATAACCAGTGCCTAATGGCCACCTCACCCACTCCTCCGGGATCTATGTCAAGCTTCTGTTTCTCATTAACTGACAGGGACCCAAGACTCAGAGAAGAAAAAGCCTTTGCCCAGCGTTGAACAGGGAGCAAGCATGGAGAAATCTTGGGTGACATGAAAAGAACACAGAGCTGGGGACATCAGAAGACCTGAATTCTGGTACTGGGTCTGCCACTTAACCAGATTCATAGACCAGCCAACATCTCCCCAGCCTGGGTTTGCGGAGCTGCCAAATAGAAACAGTGTCCATGACTATGGATAGTTGAAGGAGTAAGATCATACTGTTATAGTGTTACATAAAACCAAATTGCCTGAGCAGGGGTAACGGTCTCGTGGTTAAGAGTGCTTACTGCTCATCTAGAGTGCTCAGGTTCGGTTCTCAGTACCCACACGATGCCTCACAACTTCCTGCATCCCAAGTTCCAGGGGATCCAATGCTCTCTTTTGATATGGTGCACATCACTCAGGCACACATGTACACGTAATAAATATCCCTTTAAAAATTACCTTTGCCGGGCGGTGGTGGCGCACGCCTTTAATCCCAGCACTCTGGAGGCAGAGACAGGCAGATCTCTGTGAGTTCGAGGCCGGGCTGGACCGACAGCCTCCAAAACAATACAGAGAAACCCTGTCTCATAAAAAACAAAAAACAAAAAAAAATTACTTTCATATATTTAATGGTTACTCAAGGAGGAAGACACCCTCCTCCCATACAGTGGTCTAGATACTGGTAAGGTGCCCATGGTCTTGTAAGCAACCTTCATGAAACTCACTGGGACAGACACAGACAGACAGACAGACAGACAGACAGACAGACACACACACACACACACACACACACACACACACACATACACACATGAAAAGCAGAAGAGGTATTGATTAGAAAGAGTAAGGGGATCACTGGAAGTAGGAGGGGAACAAGAGAGGGTGTAAGGGGTGAAAATAATCAAAATACATTGTACACATGTATAAAAGTGTCCTAATGAAAAATTGTATATAACGAATATATACTAATAAGGAAAGAGAAAAGCCAAATTATTTCACCAGGAATGCAAACAACAATGGAAAGAGGCTAGACTGAGCATGAACAGGCTGGGCTCTGCTCAGGCCACCTGTGTGACCCTGAAGCAGTCATACACTGTTATCCCAAGGCCCCTGCCAACAATAAGATTATAACGTTGCATTGGGTTCCTAGGACAGGAATTCCAGTTCTGGCCACCCAGGTCTTTGAATTGATCAGTCCATCGACTGAGCCGCTTGTGTGTTTATTTTCAAAACAGGTTCTCATCATGTTGCCCAGATTGGCCTCGACTCCTGGGCTTGAACTATTCTGCCTCAGTCTTACAAGACATTGGGACTCCAGCTGCCTGCCACTATGCACAACTCCACCCTGATTTCCTGACTATCCCATTACCTGTGTTCTTACACTGCCTTAGACACAAAAATCTTATGGAAAGATACCAGTCAGTTCCCAACAAGAACATTTGAAATACCCATCTTCACTTTCTCCCCACTTAGCAGGGTAAGGGATACCTTGGAAGAGAAATCAATGACTGATGGGCCAGATAGAATTTTCCACTCAATAACACCACCCTGCATGTTAGATTCTCTCCCTGATAGACAAGGCTGGACTAGCAGCCTTGCCTTTAATAGCCTGCATCTCCCAGGTACCAGACCCTGATCCTTCCCTTGAGGAAGCAGCTCAGTATAGCCCTGGTTGAGCTTCTCCAGGAGTGAATTAAATATTAAACACGCAAGGCCACAGCCCCTGGTGCAGCAGCATATCCTAGTACACAGACAATGCACACAGCTCAGTCGTCACCCTTCCACTGGCTGTGGGCTGGGCCTCCTCATTCCTAGCCCACACTCCTAAGAAGAAATAAGAAACGAGTGTTTGATCTTCCAAGCAAGTTCATGATTCTCCATATTTTTCCTCCAACCCCAGTGTTGACGGCTCCAGGGATCCGGAAATGCCTGGAACACTGGGTTGTGACATCTACAGCACAGAAATTTAACAAGCAGCTGGGGATGCAGTGCAGTTGGTAGATGTTTATCTAGCATGCACTAAACTCTGGGGTTGATCTCCGACTGTGCACAAAACCATGCACGGTGATGGGACTTGCTTGTAATCCCAGCAATCAGGAGATGGAGGCAGGAAGATAATTAGTTCAAGGTCACCCTCAGATACACAGTTCTAGGCCAGCCTAGACTACATGAGATTCTATTTACAAAGAAGAAGAAAAAAGGAGTAGGAAGAAATTTAACAGGTCAGAGGTTCTCTCGGAAGTGGTCAGCTCAGGAAGGATGTTGAAGCCCTGACAATTCTCAGGACAATGGGGGAATTGGACATGACTGACACGAGGGCTGAACAAATGCTATGTTCTTTTTTCTCAGATTAATATGGGCCGTAGAATTATCAGATTGGAAGAAACTCAGTGATCCCCCAGGCTAGTATCCTACTTTATACAAAGGGAAATGGAGATAAGAAGAAAAGAGAAAAGCACAGCCAGTCACTCAATGAGCTGTTGCCTAAGAGGCGTAGACCCTCAGTCTCTGGGACAGAGCCCAGTTCTGTCTCCATCCTACTTCCTACACGGCACTCTGAGTCTCCTTCCTAACGTCACCAGGGGCAGGCCTGGCACTGTGTCATCCAATGGGTCATTTCCATAGGAAGCAGGGTTCTCTCACCCTCATGGTCTGGCCTTGCTACTGAAAACTAAAGGTATGCAGCTCAGCTCTGCAGCTCCAAAGAAGGGAACCTCGGCCCTGCCACTGTCGGAGCCTGAGCCTTAATTCCTCATCCCTAAGATGGGGATTAGAAGCCACTGCGTTAAAGGCTCCTGTGAAGATGAGACAAGGTGAGGCGAAACTTGGGTATTTTGTAAACTGTGACGTGCTATCTGAACACCAGCTACTATTAATATGATGTGAGGTCTGAAGACAACTGGGGGGGAGGGGGAACGAGTATCAGGGGAGGAGGCTATAAGGAATGGGAAGCCACACTCACAGGAGGGGAGTCTTGCATGGGATTCTCGTAGACCTGACCAATCCTGGGGCCATTTGGAGAGATGGGCAGCAGCAGGTCAGACCATCTCAAGTCCACTGGTTCAAGACCCTGCCCACTCTGCTTGGTGTGTGTGCATGCATGTAAGTGTGCTTGCCTACCTACTATCACCGTGCTTTGCTTGGCTGCCCTGGGACAGTTATCAGTGGTCCTAAGATGGGGTACCCCACTTCAGGCCAACACACAGACCGTCAAAGGAAAGAAAATCTACCCATCAAAAATCCTCGTGGGGACCTCTCATCCTCTGGGGTCCTTACCTTGTACTTGGCTGCAAGCAACTCTGTGGCCTGCTGCTCCCTCCGCAGATCCTCCAGCATCTTCTCCTTCTCTTCTAGAAGCTTCTGTTTCTCCTCACTCACGAGGCTGCGGTCGTCCTGGATGGCGGCCTTCTCCTCCTCCAGCCGCTCCTTCTGTTCCTGCAGGTAATTCTCCATGTTCTTCTCCAACCCGGACTCCAGAACGGGCTGGGGTGGGTGGCGATTGTTGTTGTTGGCATCTTCTTCTTCGGCCACCCAGGCCTCAATCACTGGCCCCTCCGGGTAACCCGCTGGGGCGGACACAGCCTTCTTTCTGCGGCTGCTCTTCCTCCGAGGTCGCTTACCCAGCATCCCCTTCTTCTCCAGCTGGGCCTTCAAGCGGGCGATCTCTTCCTGGAATTCCCTCAGCAGCGTGTCCTTGGGGTCCTCATTCACCCGGGGTTTGTTCTTGATGTTCTTGGCTCGGTTTGCGAAGCGCAGGGTGGAGAGGCTCTCGTCGTAGCTGTGAGAAGCTGGACCCAGTGTGGCCACCATGATGGTCTTGGCGTTGCCCCCCAGTGAGTCCTGGAGCAGCCGGGTCAGTTTGGAGTCCCGGTAGGGGATGTGGGTGCTCCTGTTGCCGGCCAGAGCAGCAATCACATTGCCCAGAGCAGACAGAGACAGATTGATCTTAGAGGCTTCCTTAGGCCTCTCTCCGCTGCTGCCTCCACCACTACCACCGCCACCTCCGCCGCCACCACCAGCTGCCGGCTGTGCGGCTGGCCCTCCAGTTGTGGTAGGACCTGCCTTGTTCTGCCTCTCACTGCCAGCCAGGTCTACCAGGTTAAGCTTGCCTACTCGGATATGGTCTTGGCCATCGGACCCACGCTCACTGCACTCCACCGTGATGACAAATATGGCATGGGACCTGGAGCTGACCTCATTCATGTGGGTGCTGCCCACGGCCCGAGTCTGGTTCCCCAGGTTCATCACGTGCTCAATCTCCTTGACATTCTTGGTGACAAATGAGGAGAGGTCCTTGATATAGACCCCTGTCTCGGGATTCTCCTTCAACTCTAGCCTCTTGCCTGGCTCTTTGGATAGCAGGTCTCGGATCTCCTCCTGGTAGATCTCCAAGTAGGAGGCACGAACCAGGTACTGCTGGTTCTGGGAGCGGGAGATGTGGGTGAAGATGTGCTCAAAAGCATTGGGGATAACCCCGCGGAGCTCTGGCTCCACCCAGGTCCCCTGCATAGTGTAGGTCTTGCCGGTGCCCGTCTGGCCATAGGCAAACACGGTGCCATTGAAACCCTGAAGCACTGAGTCTATCAGGGGCCTCACGGTTTCATCATACAGATCGGCCTGCTTGGAGCTAGCATCATACACAGCATCAAAGGTGAAGGTCTTGGGCAGTTCCCCGGGTGCCGCGCGGGGGTTTCGCAGAGTCACCTGGCCCAGTTTCACGTCCATGGTCAGAATCTGCTCATGGCCTGCTGCCTCCTCCTTCCTACTGAGGGGGCGGCACCGGGCCACCACCTTCAGGGCCTCGCTGGCCTTGGTCTTACTGGCCATCTTGCGGCTCTGTCCTTCCAGATGGGCCGCTCTGAAGCCTGGGAGGTCCTCCTGTCCTGCTCCTAGGTCCGGATCAGCCAGGCTGGCCCAGCCCCCAGACACCGCTCTTCAATCCGCATGCAGCCTCCCAGGGTGCGGATGCAGGGAGTTGGCCCAGAGGCTGCTGCAGTCCAGGCCTCCACAGCTCTCCACGGCTTTCAGTGCACGGACTGGAGAGGTAGAATTAGGCAGAATCCCCAGGCAACCGCGCCAGCAGCTCCTGCCGAAGGGCAGTGCCTGGAACCCGCCCCATACTGGGGCAAGAGGGAGCGCTACGGTAAACAGCTTCGGCAACAATGAGATAAAGGAAGAGGAAAATGTGATGGGGGTGGGCGGCAGAGCTGTCTTTTCCTCCTCCTTTTTCTTTTCCCCTAGGGAGCCATGGCGGGGGATGCGGGACCTGGGCGGTCAGGGAATCCCGGTCCCCCCGAGGGCAGAGGCTCACCTGGAGTCCTCCCCTCCGGCTGGAGGATCATTCATTGCAGACACAGCTGGCTGCTGCTGCCTCTCCTGCGCCTTCCCCGCCGCCGCCACCACCGGAGAATGGGAGAAAAACAGAAGGGGTTGGGGCGGAGCAGCGGCGGCGAGACTGATGTTGCTGCGGCCGCTGCGCTGCGGCCGGGGCTAGGTCTCCCGGCTGGGGTGGGGCAAGGGGCGGGGCCGCGGGGCGGGGAACAAGAGCCTGGCGCGGCCCTTGCGCGAGGGACAGCGGTGCATCGCCACCCGCACCCCGCCGACCCCCTCAGGGATGACAGGCTCGGGTGCCCACCCAGGTCCCGCGCCCACCAGTCGGATGCGGCGCAGCCACCGCCCGTCGTCACCCCACCGAACCCGAGCATGCTGGGAGATGTAGTCCCTCCTTTGTTAACTGGGTTCTGTCAGGTTGCTAATGCTTTCTCCAGTCCTCAAGTCTGGGAGCCCCTCCTCCAGCATGCAAACCCCCCTCCCCGAGTGTGTCTGCTGAGGCTGCACCACCCACGCGTGTTCTCTCTGCAACTGCCGTTCCCGATTTCGCACTGCTCCTTCCATTTTGCTTTCAGATGGGGACATGTCACAGTCCCCCACTCTTCAGGGTGTCCCCAGGCCTCCTGGAGCTTAACTCCTAAACATGGTTTACTCCCTATCCTGGTTTACTCTGCCTGGCCTTCCCTTTAACACTCTGCTTCGGAAGCACAGTGATTCCATGCCTCGTGCCTGCACCGGGCTCTAACTCCAACCACTTCTCCATAATCTTCCACATCCCATGAAGGCTTCTCCATCTTCTGACCTACGACCTTACCTCCAGTACTCTGATCAGTGTGTACTCATGATGACAATGCCGTCACACTTTTCTAGCTCCCGCTGAGCCCCAGGACTACTCTATGACCCTCTCGTAAAGGGGTCATATACTGTGATAGGGCTCATTCCGCCATGTTGTGCGCTGGTTAATTTTTGTCAACACCAACTAGAGACTCCTGAAAAGAGGGAAGCTCAGCTGAGGAATTGCCTCCATCAGGTTGGGCTGTGGGGGCATATTCTGAATTGCTAATTGATGGAGGAGGGGCCAGTCCACTGTGGGAGGTGTCACCCCGGCAGGTAGTCCTGGAGTATATGAGAAAGGTACAGCAGGTAGTGTTCCTCCACCATTACTACTTCAAGCTCCTGCCTTGAAGTCCTACCTTGATGATGGACTGGAACCTGTAAGCCAGACAAACCCTCTCCTCTCCAAGTTGCTCTTGGCAGTGTTTTATCACAGCAACAGAGAAGCAAATTAAATCAGAAGGCTTCTTTAACTGGTTTCTTTCCATAGCAGAAAGGCTGGAATTTGCATAAGATAAAAAAGCTTGGGCCTAGCGTCCTAGTTCCTGTGTGATGGTACATGTACATGTTTGTGGGGGCGTGTACACATGTGTATATGGGTGCAGGTCCATGTAGTGCCTCTCCAGGCCAGAGAGTAACCTCATTAAAAAAAAGTAGGGGCCTGGTGGTTAACAGCACCAGCTGCTCTTTCAGAGGTCCCAGGTTCAATTCCCAGCACCCACTTGGCAGCTCGCAACACCCTGTGATCTGGCACTCTTGCACAAACATACATGCAGGCAAAAATGTCAATGCACATAAAAATTAATTTAAAAATTAGCCAGTCGTGGTGATGGATGTCTTTAATTCCAGCATTCAGGGGGCATAAACAGGTAGATGTCTGAGTTCAAGGCCAGCCTGGTCCACAAAGCAAGCTCCAGGACAGCCAGGGCTATGCAGAGAAACACTGTTGTTTTTTGGCTTGTTTTTAAATTTTATTTTATGTGTTTTGCCTGTGTATGTGTATGTTTGTATTTCCAGTGTGTTCCTGGTGCCACAAAGGTCAGAAGTGGGTGTTGGATCCCCTGGAGTTAGAGTTGTAGATAGTTGTGAGCTGCCATGTGGGAAATGGGAACAGAACCCATGTCCCCTGAAAAAGCAACAAATATTTTCGTCGCTGAGCCATCTCTTCAGAAGACCCAGGACTTCCTGTTTTGGAACCCACTGATTGGGTAGACTGTCTGGCCAGTAAGCTCTAAGGATTGACCTCCCCAGTGCAGGGGCTCCTGGGGATCACAGTTCAGTTCCTTGTGCCTGAGCGACACACACTTCCTTCCAGCTGCATTACCTTCCCAGACCACAGAGTTCCGGTTCCGATCTCCACCCAGCAAACTACTCTACTCCAACCTTCTCTTCCTCCTGTGCTTACAAATGGATTCAGGGACTAGAGAGATGGCTTGGCAGTTAAGGATATCGCTGCTTTTGCAGAAGACCTGGGTTTGGTCCCCAGGTGGTTTGATGCGGTGACTCACAACCATCCATGCCTCCAGCATCCTTCCTTCTACCGGTACCAGGAATACATGTCGTACACACACATATATTCAGACTAACACACAAACACATAAAATAGTGCAGGCAAACACTCAAATACATAAAATTAGCCAACGGTCCTGGAGCACACCTTTAATCCCAGCACTCTCGAGGCAGAGGCAGGTGGATCTCTGTGAGCTCGAGGCCAGCCTGGTCTACAAGAGCTAGTTCCAGGACAGCCTCCAAAGCCACAGAAAAACCCTGTCTCGAAAAGCAAAAAAAACAAAAAAACAAAAAAACAAAAAACAAAAAAAAACAAACAAAAGAAAGAAAAGAAAACACAAAACAAAAAGTTACATAAAATAAGAATAATTATTTAAAAAATGGATTTGATATGTGATGCTTATTTTATTCACAAGTCTTTTAAAATAAAGTTTATAAAAATTAAAAGAAAAAGGAGATAAAGCTAGGCATGGTGTCATCCACACTCAGAAGATGGAAACAGGAAGATGGAGAGTTTAAAGTTGTCTTCAGCTACAGAGCAAGTTCAAGGTCAACCTGGGCAGCAAGAGACACCCCCCCATCTCAAAACAAACAACAAAGCTTGGCTCTTTGTGTCATCGGTATCCCCAAATTCCTAGAATTTGAATGTCAGCTAGGTCAGCAGCTTGAGGCTTAGCTGGTAGCTTGCCCACTTCTGAAGTTCCCTGGCCTTCCTCCCCACTCTGCTGGCCCAGCTGCAATGAGGAACTTGGCCTTTGCAGCAATTACTGGTGAAGTCTTGGCTGTGTAAACTTTTACCTTCCTTGGCTCTGACAACCTGACTTCTGGATACTGTTTGATTCCTGAACTATTTCCCTGTGCTTGGCTTGGCTTCTGCACATCCCTCTCTGCTTTGGCTAACTCATCCGCCACTCCTGGGTACCCTGCTCCTTCCATGTTGTCACCACTGGCCCAGGTCCTTCTTGTATGGGAGCTGAGGGTGAAAAGTAACCATTGCTTCCAAGATGCAAGTCCCTCTAAATGACTGAAGTCCTCTGAACAGCTATTTTCACAGAAGGGTAGGAGTGTTTACCTTTCCTCGCAGGATTTACACAAAGATTAAGTCAAATGATATATGCCTGCTCTCTTAGGCCATAAAAGGATACAAGGAAGAGGGACACAGCCTGGGGATCCGGCTTTGTCAGTAGACAGCTTGCCTAGCAGACATGAAAACCTAGGTTTGACCCTCAGCCTCTGAAAATCTGAAGCCTATAACCCCAATACTGGGGAAATTGAGACAGGAGGCTCAGAAGCTCAAGGTGGTCTTGGCTATAAAGTGAGTTTGAGGTCAGCCCTGGCTACAAGAGACCCTGTCTAAATAAGTTCCTTCCTCGCCCCTCCTCCACACTCAAAGCAGTTTGCATTTTGTGTTTTCCTTTCAGATTTGTCTCCACCATTCTTCCCTGCCCTGTTCTCCAGCTGCTCTGACTTGCTTAAGGTCCCCCCAGACCCCCCACTGTTTCTGTGTGTGTCCCGGTGCTCGTGGCTCAAGATGCCCTTTTTCCTTTATTCCCGTCTTCATGGCCTCGTTTTCTACTATTCAACCTCATATGACTCCTGCTCACACCATTCAGAGACCCTTCTCTAACCAACCCTACTTTCTCTGTCAATAAGCTGCTCTGAGATGCCCTGAAAAACACATCCGGAGTCAGGCAGTGGAAGTGCACACTTTTAATCCCAGCACTCTGGAGGCAGAGGCAGGCAGGCAGATCTCTGTGAGTTCCAGGCCATCCGGGTCTACAGAGTGAGTTCCGGGACAGCCAGCGCTACACAGAGAAACCCTGTCTCAGGAAAAAAAAAAACAAAACAAAAAAAAAACAAAAAGCAAACCCACACCCAGAATTTAGAACTTTGTTTACTGTTGAAGAGATACAGAGAAAGAGAGAGACAGAGCACAGGCAACTCAGGTCATCATACTTGTGTGGCAAGCAAGTTGACCCGCTGTCTACCCATCTAGCCAGGGCCCTTACTCTGTTTTTTTTTTTTTTCTTTTCTTTTCTTTTTTTCCCCAAAGCAGGGTTTCTCTGTATTGTTTTGGAGGCTGTCCTGGAACTCGCTCTGTAGATCAGGCTGCTCTCGAACTCACAGAGATCCACCTGCCTCTGCCTTCTGAGTGCTGGAATCAAAGGTGTGTGCTACCAACACTCTGCTATTGTTTTTTTTTCCCCAAGACAGGGGTTCTCTGTGTAGCCCTGGCTGTCTTGGTTTTTTTTGTTTGTTTGTTTTTGTTTTTTGTTTTTTTGTTTTTTGTTTTTTGGTTTTTTGAGACAGGGTTTCTCTGTAGCTTTGGAGGCTGTCCTGGAACTCACTTTGTAGACCAGGCTGGCCTCGAACTCACAGAGATCCGCCTGCCTCCGCTCCCGAGTGCTGGGATCAAACGTGTGTGCCACCATTGCCTGGCTGCCCTTATTTTATTTTGAGACATGATCTTTCTAAATTGCCCAGGCAAGCCTTGAATTTGCAATCCTTTTGCCCTGGCCTCCAGAGTAGCTAGGATTACAAACGTGGGCCACTGTGCTTGACTTGAAACTAAGTTACCCACACAGGAACTGGAATGCTAGGCCCATGCTATATTTTATGTAAATTTCATCCTTCTATCTGTTATGGCAACAAACCAGCAGGATAGATTTCTGATCTAATTTTTAATTAATTAATTAACTTGGAGACAGGGCTTCCCTGTGTAGCCCTGACTGTCCTGGAACTCTCCATGTAGACCAGGCTGGCCTCAAAGTTATGGACAGCCTCTGCTGCCTACTGAGGGCTGGTGTTAAAAAGGTGTATGCCGCTATGTCCAGCAATATCCTTGTTTTGCAAAGAGGGCCCAGCCAGGCTGATGAAGTGTCTAGGGGGAAGAAACCAAAGTAATAGAAAATAAGTTAAAGTAATAAAATAAAATAAATAAAGCCAAT